GAAAATTAAAGCGCTAAATATGCTCTATAAAATATATAAAAATATGTTCAATAAAAATTTGTCTTTCAAATAACATATACGAAATAGTTATTAAAAAGTAAAGCTAAATTCGACAAAGTTAAATTAACATAATTTTCCAACATAATTAATTTCATTCGAATAAATCAAAATTATATATAGTGGATACTGATATAATGGAATTTTGTTAACATTCAGCTATTTTCCTTGAATTTAATTTAACAAACCACGATTTCATACTATAAACATTAATTGATATAACTATTTTCAAAAAATCCAGTTTAATAAAGCAATAATGTTGTAAAGTATCAATGAAAATGAATGACATTTCTCTTATTTCGCTCATAATATTGTATTTCTCTTTCCAGTATTGCCTCTATATAATGTTTATAAAATATTTTAGGATAATTATTTTATGAACATGTCTCGTTTCAGCTGCATACAATGATTGAATACAAGCAAATGCTGTCAACAAATTTGCAGTCCCTGTTAGCAAGGTTTCTAGCAATGCGAAAATTCTCCCTTTTGTACATGACTGTCTATATTACAGAATATGTCGGATTTTTTATAATGTACATTATAAAAAACACACGCACACACGCATTCTTTCTATAATATTCTTTACCGAAAATCACATTTTAATTTAATCTCTTTCTTTACTATATGTCTTTGCTTTTTTCTTTCTATATACGTTTTTTAACTGTGATTAAGCAATTAACGATTATACACGTATGTGGGAGATAACATCAACAAAATTTCAAAAATAAAAGTCACATAAATAATGACAATTATAAGCTATCAAAACCACGTGAGAGTTATTCAAAAGATAATAACCACGCGAAGCATACAACACAAAACTGCAGTCTCTTAAAAGGCAATGCTGTTACTTCACCATTAAAGTCATTTCCTATCAAGGAAATTTACATCGGTAAAAGAGTAAAAAATGCAAATAATATTATATATGTTACTCAACTTATTATATCTGTTACTCTTTAAACCAGTACTTTGACTAATGATTAACATTGAAAATAGAAAGACATATGATAGTTACTGAGAAAAGTTGGAAAGTTGAATATAATTCAAGAAGCATAACTTATGTTTAGAAACTGTACGATGATTAAAGCAGAAGTTTGCAAAATGCAGAAATAGGTAGATCTATTTTTCGAGTAATTAAATTGCTAAAAGATGTTCCTCACATATTATACGTGATTTACTTTAACAAAAAAGTGATTATGACGGATAAACAGAAAGCGATAAATTTAGACCTATAAGAGAGTTCTTTCACAAATGATTAGAAATACTGTAAAATTATATAATCCTGCAGAAAATGTAGAATAATGTAAAATACCTTCCGAATAAGCCAGCAAAATATGGGGTAAAAATATGGATCTTCTGCAAATATAAGTTTCTACACATTTAACATCTTATACAGTACTTAAAAATCCCAACTTTATACAGAAATAATACCTCGAACAATACCTGAAAAAGATTAAGGATACGTGCAGTATTAGATTTATTTTCTCAACTTAGAGAACAAAATATTACTCGTGATCATATTTTAACTTTATGCAAATTTATCGGGATGAATATGTAAGCAAACGATTTACAAAAAAAAAAATCATTCGTAATAATAAGAAAGAATAATTTATGTAATTCTACCTTCTATTTTAGTAAGAACACCAACCGTATAAATTGTATCATATATTTCTAAAATGTATAGAAATCCAATAAACATAATATACTACCATAAAAAAATGACAGGGATCATAAACAAAGCATAAATAATATTAGATTACAAGATAATAAGGCGAGTTCGTCAAATTGACCTATTAAAACAAAATATTGTAATATGTATATTTAAGAATGAATCTATTTGTCAACCTATTATTACTTCCTAATAGAATTTATACTGCTTTTGTACCGCAAAAAGAAATCAACTAATAATAAAAAAAAAGACCAATATATAAAAAAAGATGTTTTTAAAAGAATTGGATAAAATCCTAATAAAGCCAGAAACATCTACCAGTAGATATAGATATTTATAGTAGATATAGTAGAATTATAGATATAATAGTAGATATTTTAATAATAAATATAAAAAAATAATTGTAGTTTTATATAGCATTAAGAAAAGAAACAAATGGTCATAATGTAAATTCCATCTTTAAAATTGCAACGGAGAGTGGTATAACATATTTTAATACATTTTTATCTGAATCTTTTAAAATATTATTAATATATACTATGTGATACTTCAAATATAAATATACATGTATATAAGCGTAAATATATAACATATAACATATGTATTTCTATGTTATATTTTATAATCGAATGAAGGAAATGTAATTTTTTTGTGCAGAATAAATAATATATTAATTATATATGAACTGTACTATTTCCAAAATGTTATATTTTTGTTTATAGCTGTGTAAATGAACAAAACCTTTTCACTGAAAAGACATAAACTATCTATTACTAATATCTCTTCTCGTTTCCTTAAATACTGAATTTCCAATTGTATAGACTACAATCTCTCATGTACTTTCATTTTAAATAATAAAGAATAAATATTGACCCTGTCTCATTTCTCTTATCTAACACTGTACATTTGAATAATATTATAACAATGAAAATCATTATATTAAATATTTTCTTTAATATATTGTTATGTATATATAAAAGAATAAATTAACATAATAATATCACATCACTTTGAAAGTTGTTGCATATCTTATAAGATGCAATTAAGCAACCCATCTTAAGACCCATATATATATATATTAAAAGGTAGAAAAATTTTTCTTTTTGCGATAAAATTCACACAAAAATGCAGAAAAGACTTTTGAAATAACTTGACATTTCTTTTTTGTACTGATCTCATGTGAATAATTAAATTTTATTCGAACAAAGCTTTTGTTAAGATTATTAGTATTATCAACATTATTCAAAAGTTTAATATTCCAAAGAATTACCAATTTTTCAAACATATATTTTCTACTTTTCTTTTAAATTTACATGTGAAAAATATTCATATTTAGAAAATAAAAAATCTTTTTCACCTCTCCACCTACTAAAAAACTATTATCACAGGATTACTCCAATAATAAATAATGTTAAAAGTAATAAATAATGTTAAAAGTAAACAGATTATAAATATGGCTAATAGAATAAAATTGCTAATCAAAATATTATCCATATATTTTGAGCAAAAAATTGATAAAGAAGAAATATCAAATCTTAATCTATTTAGAACAAAAATTTAAAGCGATAAAAGAAAATTTTCTTTCACTATTGGAATACAAAAGTATTTAATTTGAACTTTTAATTCATGAAAAATTTATATGTTCTAATACTTCTTTATAGACATAAAAGTATATTTACGTAAATGATGATTGTAAATATTACAACCTATATTAGAATTTAATTTTCCTATTATGACTGTCTCATGATATTTAATTTTCATATTTTCAATAAATTGTCATATAACAATTTTCATAGTTTCTTCATCAACATAATGACATCTTGATCATAATACGGAATAATATAAATATTTTTAATAACATACAAAAGACATAATTATTCATATTCACTACTAAAATCTTCTAATTTGTAATACAAACAAGAAACATATACATTTTATATCAAATGAAATATATAATAAATGATTTTCGAATTATGAATAATCTTCTGTATAATGTAACAAATAAAATTTTTTTAATTAAATGTGCATAAAGTTATCAGTACAGGATTTTATGTTATTGAAAAATATAAAAAATGAATATGAATAATCTTGAGCTATTAAATTAAACAAATAAACAAATATTTTATTCAAAAATATGAATAAAACATTCCATATATATTGTATTATCAAATGGTATATATTATTTAAATAATATTTGTTAATAAGATAAATTGTATTATTTTTGCTAATAAAGTAATTGTATTTTTTTATACTAATCTAAATAATTTTATTATGCATTGTAATTTAATTTTATTAGTCATGACTTCATGTTTAGATAAATTGTATTGTTTGTTTATAACAAATTCAATAAAGTATTGTAAAATTTGATTATCAATTAAAATATTTGAACACAGGTCTCCTAGATTACTCTAAAATTATATTTACTCTGACCTGAATTGCTTGGAATCCTCTGCCATGTAAATCCACAAAATCCCACTGCCCTGTTGGACGGTGGAAAAGTAAGAAGGCATTGCGTTGATTGTATATATTCATACTCAATTACCTGTGGGCAAAAACACTGCCCATTATGGATATAGACTGATACTTCTAAATACTCATTAATATGTAGATCATTGATCATACATAAGTAGGATTGCATTACTTTTTTCTGCAGAACCTACACAATAACCTACATCCATATCCAGTGTACTTATAGATCAAATGTATGAAATATAAATATTTCCATATTGCTAATATACCCAATATTTATAATGATAATCAGAATAAAAGAAAAGAGGATATTGAAGACATAAACCCTACATATGAGAAATAAATTATTTATAATTATAATACAATAACGTCCACATCAAATGAAAATCACATTGTAAATTAAAATGTACAAATCCTAATATTTCACTTTCTTTCACCTGTGAAAAAAACACTGACTACTATAATTATACTTAAATTAATGTCTGTAATATTACATTAAAAGCAAAATATACAATAATGCAATAATAAATAACTTTAATAAAAGTTAATACTTATATATTTATATCATTAAATAATATATTAAACCTCACATTATATTAAAATCCTATAAAAATTAAAAACAGGTATACATAAATTCATAAACCTAAATATAAATTTATAAGCTTTTTAAACATTTGTAATATTTCCAAAGATAAATTTTATATTACAATATTAATATATTTTCTTTTTTTTCATATTCATTCTAAAAATACTCACATCTAAGATATTAAAGAACATGTTATTTTACTTATGTAACAATATTTCATACCTGCCATCGTAACAGCTGTGTTCTCATTGTCAATTGCATCTGCCAATACAGATTTATTTGCAGCTTTGCATACTTTCAAATGTTTATTTATCCGACTTTGGGCTTTATGATCACGCAATGCTAATAAATTCTAAACATAAAAAAAGCAATAATAACGAAATATTATAAATCCATATATCAAATCAGCATTTAGAAACTAATTATACGTGAATAAAATTCAGTACCTCTCTTTTTTTCTTTTCTTCCAACGCTTTCTGTCTTTCTTCCTCTTCCTTACGAGCCAGAAATTTTTTTATATTTTCCGAAAGTGACTTACTTTGTTTAGTTGGCTTTTTGGGTGGAGCAAATTTTGTTTGGTAACAGGCAATTGGCTATAAAAAAAAAACAGAGCATAATATTATTAAAAATGATTAGTTTTTAAAGATAAAGAGACAGTAGAAAAAGAAAATATAATAACCTGCTTGTTATTTTCATTTTTCTGTGCCACACTCAGCAAAGTACCAAAATCCATGTTAATAATAAAATGAAATGATATTACTAAATTATAAATACCATGACATATCTTTTACGTTCACATATTAAATTTAACCTTCATGTTCAATCGTAACTATTTCAATGTATTCCTCGATCTCTAAACACTGATAATTAAGTCAGTTAAAATGTACAAATTATCACATAAATACTTTTGAACGTTTACTAGAAAAGTAAGTCTTCGAATAACTAAAAGGATTCAAGATGAACTAAATATTTGCAAGATATAGCGCACATATAAAATGATACTAGCTTTGCCCGATAGATGGCAACTAACAAGTATTGTCATAAATGAAGTACAGAATAGATCAATCATTCAAAGTATTTTTTCGTCCCATATTTGGAAGTTCTAGAATCTCCTTGTTATTGAGTGTTATCATAAACGAGGTATATGTAGAATAAGCCTACAGAGAATATGTCGTGTGCGCACACGTGAGTGCGTGTGTGGAAATGCCTGAAATTTAATTGCGGTAGTATGTGCATATGTACTGTCCGTTCGAGAAAAGAAGACACGGCAGGTTTACATTCTCACTGCTGATTAACTCCGCTGACACTCCTTTGATCACAAATAGTATTAGCCGAAAACTGTGACGAAGATCATCGGCGGGCTGTAATGAAACTGAGTGAGTTAGGATAAAGCGCATCGTAGTTTTTTAACCTAAATGTTAGGTATAAAGAAACAGAAAGCTGACATTACGCTTCAAATATTTATATAAAACATGGAAATGAGAAAAAAGAAAATATTTATTTTGCTTTTTACTGAACTATTTCCTAAGAGAATCTTTTCTTTTTAGTTTAAGTATTATTGTGATAATAACATGTTTTCTGCGTATTACTAATATTTAACGACAAAACGTGAAAAAGAAATACAAAACTCATTATAATTAGAATATAAATGTTCAGTGAAACACGTCATTTCTATATAAAAATTACGTATTACACGAACACTCTACTTTTCTACTATTTAGAAATAATTTTTACTTGTTTCAATAGTTTACTTAATTCTTTTACTTACAATTGCTATTTAAAAACGTATTTACTGTAAAACATTGTAATGTGAAATTTGTATTTATGTGATGAGCAAACCTGGTTTCAACTGTGGTTGAAGGAAATATACTTTTCAATAAGAATATATGCAAAAATGTTTTTTATTTGTCCGTTTATTAATCTTTTGTTATGTATGTTCAATATTTATTGGATTGTTTGGAAATTAAATTTCAAAAAATAATTATACCTTCTCTTTCGGTTTGCATAGCCAGTTGCGGGTGAGATTTAACAAAATGTTCGCTTGTATTCTTAAAAGTACAAAACTATGCTAAATTCGAGCACACGTGTGAATTGGTTTCAGTTTACGTGGTAAAAGTAGTGCATGGTTGTGGGCGGATTATCTTTTGAGGTAAATCTAACGATTTTTTTCAACATCGTTCAGTATCGCAATAGTAGTAAAAGAGTATGAATGTCGAGGGACAAATAACAAATATATATTTTTGTGCGAATCATATCGTATGTAATGATTTATCAATGGTAAATGTACGAAATATTTATGCCTCAACGAGCTTAATACACCAAATTCATTGTGCTCAATAACGATATAAAACATTGTATAAGAACGTAATGAGAGTGAAAACGTGTCACTCACAATTACTAGAACACTTAAACTTGTTATGATAGATAAACATATATAATAAGAGGAATAGACGATCGTATTTCTATAAGTATTTTATGATCATCCTTAACGGGCACTATAACAACGTCCATTTGTTGTAATAATTATGTGATAAGTGCTTATTCTTCTCATTTAGTTATTTTGTATTTATTAGTAGTTTTCAGTTTACCTATAAGTTTTATCGTTATTTCATTTTCATTTCTAAAATTATTCTTGTACATTGAAAGTCGTAGTATAATCGCAATGATATATTAGGTGGAGCAGACTTCGTTAACCCGGTATAATTCACGTGCACTCAATTTCAGTAGACTGATTGTTTTAACCTGCAGTTTATATTAATACATGGATCCGTTAATATCATAGAAAATAATACTTTTTGCAGAATTAATAAACGTTAATCTTCTTTTACCATTTAGATGCAATAGATTCATTTTTGTATCTATCTGTATAACGAAACAGTAAGGATAGATTGATAGTGTATAATGTAATTATCCATTACAGATCAACAAATATGTCAAAATTAACTGAGATTGACAAAGCTGCAAGCTTTGAACCTACAAAGGTTAAAGCAGCAGCAGCTCGAGTTAGAACCAATATAGATTCAGATGATACTCTATCAAGCTTGGACGATGCAGGTGCCAGTAGTAGTTGGCTTTTCAGGGACAACTGTTACTGATTTTCCCATAAACATAGTTTTTACAGCAAAACAAAGCCGTGGAAAGAAAAAAGCAAGAAAGTTGATGAGCAAACTAGGATTAAAGCCTGTATGTTAAGAAAACTCTATATACCCTTATTTTATGGTATAAATAAGTAACCATTATTTTTTTTATTTAACTACAACCTAACCCAATCTGGGGTTATCATTAGTACCTTTAGGATTATAGTTATTAATTTCTATCTTTTTTTCTTTTTATTTATGTACTATTCTGTCATTATACATTATTTTTCTTTGATATTAATTTATTAAAACCAAATTCTTTTAATAATAATAAATAAATGTCATAGATTTCTTTATCAGGAAATTATATTAAGAAATTAAGAAATAAATTGTATAATAGGAACTTTTTTACCATGTCTAATATTGTAGTGCAAAGGATTTATTTGGATTGATTGATCAATTATCTTGTCAGAAATGGTCCATCCAATCAGTAAACTTTTGTCATAATTTCCCAAAAAGAGTTAAATGTAAAAATTGATTTACAATACTAAATATTTAAAATATTTGTTCTTTTATTTTATAGGATTCAGATACTGTTATTGCAACTTTTGGAATCCTGCAAGAAAATGGAAACTGTCTACTTCAAAACTGGTGTATAATGTAACTTTTAATAGTACATCACTGATTGAGGCAAATGGAGAAGATATAAAACATGTGCAAACAGAATCACCAAATCCATTTGACACAGGTTCAAATACAGAAAAAAATTACATATAAACATTTTTGGTAAAAGAGAAAAAATTTTGAGATTCAGATATCGAAGTAGTCGAACAGCCAACAGAATCATTGGATGAAATTGAACATATTACTGAATGAATAAAAGATATGAAGCGTGCTCTGCGCATGGAGAGGTATATGTTTATTAATCATGTACATACTTTAATATTCCATTTTGTTATAAATAATTACAATCGTAGATAAACCAGGAGCCACGAAATTCAAGACGAAAAGCGTTGAAAAAATGGATATCGATGAATCTTTATCTTTCAATTAGAAATAATTTGTGATATGAAACTTATTGTTATGAAATATACTGTAATTGACATTGTAGTGTACATATAGGTATATAGGTATACATGTATAGCAGAAATGTAAGTATTCTTCATTTTTCCAACGCTTTCCGTTTCAGATTTTGTGGTATATTTGATAAATTTTGCACAATAATTTATGCAACAAGATTCAATATAAATAGGTGTTATTCTACATTTTATCTTATTTTTGCAACAATTACTCTCTTTTGTTATTTGGTTATATTTTATTTTATTTCATTGTTTAGTGGCTATATAGATTATTTTATTATGAAATCATGAAACATATGAAAGATATTATATTGTTTAACTCGTTAGCAAGTAGTAAACTTGCGTAAAAGGTCATAAATCGAAATTAAAATAGAAAAGTAATAAAGATAAAGTAAACTTTACGGTAGAAGAGCGATTAACTGCTCTAAAAAATTTTGAAGATGTTAAAAGTTATCTCGAAATTGCGAAGATTATTAACAGAAATGTCAGTACTGTCCAATATACCGTGACACGATATGAAAGCGAAAATAGAATAAGTAATAAGTCAAGAAAAGCTCCAAGCAACAAATTTAATGCGTAAGACGAAAGGTGGATAATGCGAAAAATTGAAGATAATCCGAGAATTAGTATCTCTAAACCTATTAACGATGTTGAAACATATTTAGGAAAAAGTGTAAGTCCGGAAACAATAAGAAGAGTATTAAAAAAAACAAAATTTTCATTACCGTACGGCTCGGAATAAACTTCTTGTGAGAGAGAAAAATGGAAAAAGAAGATTACATTTCGCAAGAGACTATTTGAACAAAGATATTGATTTTTGGAAAGAGACTATCTTTACAGATGAAAGTAGATTTAATATCTTTCATACAGATGATAAAATTACAATGAGGCGACGATCTAATGAAAAGTTGGAAAACAAAAATTTAAACTGTGCCTTAAAACATGGAGATCAATTAATGTTGGTTTGGAGTTGTATATCTACTGCTGGAATGGGTAGTTTAGCATTTATAGAAGGCAATATGAATAAACACGATTATGTGAATATTTCGAAAAATAATTTAAAAAGCAGCGTTAAAAAGATAGGAATTTTAGACCGCATTAAATTTTATAGCGACAACGATCCTAAACACGCGTTGCATATGGCTCCTTTATAATTGCTCCAAAGTAATAAATACATTCCCGCAACCACCTGATTTGAACGTTATAGAACACATCTGGCACGTACTAGAAATTAGAATTCGGAAATATACCATTAAAAATAAAAATGATTTAAAAAGAGAGGAATGGAGTAAAATTAAACACAGTTTTACTGAAAACTTGGTAAGATTGATGGAAAATACATTGCGTGAGGTAGAACGTAATCGAGTTTGAACGAACTCAACAAAATACTAAAATTTAATTCAAGCAACTTGACAAACAATTTTTTTTAAATGTACAATTTTAGCTATGAGGCGTTTTCCGAACAAAATCCTAACAATTTCAATTTTCTATATACATAATAAGATTCGTTTGTTTTTGAATTACTACATAATAAATATAGATATATTTACAATATATATCAATTAAATTCTTTTTCCTAAATCATCCCTAAATTTTTTTACGAGGTGAAACACATTTTCTGATATGTAATTTACAATTTTTGCTGCGATTCACTGTACCTATGTTTACAAAAAATCGTTAAAAATATTGTTTTCTATAATATATTTCAAAATTATTGAAATTAGTAAGGTACATTGTTTTGCATGTTTAAAAATGAAATTCGATATTAAGATCTTCCTCTAAACAGAGATAGAAAAAAATGTCTTTTTGGAAATATTTTGTAATTAATATCAGAATACTTTGTCAATACAATGAAAATTAAGCATAAATGTATATATTTGATAAATTTTGCACAATAATTTATACAACAAGATTCATATAAATAGGTGTTATTTTACATTTTATCTTATTTTTGCAACAATTACTCTCTTTTGTTATTTGGTTATATTTGATTTTATTTCATTGTTTAGTGGCTATATCAATTATTTTATATTCGAAATGCATAAATATATAAAATTCTCTATTATTATTATTATTATTAAGATATATTACACCATAATGAATCAATATAACTGTACTACAAGTTATATAATTACATAAATCAGTAACCCATTATTGCTGCATTAATTTTAATTTCAGTAAATTAAACATTTAAACTCAGTCATTAATGCACATTATAAAAATATTAATAACAAAGAATTTATTTTATTGAAACATTTTAAGTCATTAAAAAATTTTTATTTACGATGTTCTAATAACAATATATTTTTCAATATTAAATTCCTATCAGAATCTGAACTACCAATACACATTTTGAAAAATTGAAAAATATTAGATAAATTATCAATATTACTATATAATGTCAATATAAAACAATAACGCCATATCAATGGTTCAATATCAGTAGAAGAATAAAGTAATAATAACAGTAACTTTTTAGCTTTATTCCAATGCTTTTTATTCATATGTGATTTTATTTGAGAAAGAATCTTGTATTTTGAGAAGCTTATTGGGTATGACCTCTCATTTTGTTTATAATGATATATAATTTTACACTGAGCATCCTGTGATTTTTCTACCTCTTCCTCTTTCATTTTTTTCTTCATTCCATTACGTTTATTTAACCAAAGTACCTCAATAGCTTCGTTCTAAAAATAATATACCATTTAACATTAGTAACTTAAATTAATAATACGAAATTTCATTGTTACATACCACTTTTGATTTTCTAATCTTCCGCATTATTTCTTTTGCTTCTTAGTATTATTTCATGTAAGTTGGTTTTAGTATAGCCTATTAATTAAATAAATATAATTTTAAAAAGGTAAACAAAAAGAAATTTTACAAATTTGTATAATTAATGTATAACATACAGACATTATTTATTTAGATTTAATTACAGTAACTATTATAATGTGTCTCATATTAATATATTACATACTTATTCTACATAATAATATAAAAAATATATTCTCACTTAATATTATTTATCACAGAAAAACTAAAAATAGGAGGTTTATATTCTTGCATTCTTTTTATATGTTAAAATCGTAAAGAGATTCAAATTTTTCACTAATCCGATTTTACACCTGCTAAATAATAACATTTTATATCTAATAAAAAATGTCCCTATGTTTTCATTTTTATGAATTTTTATTTTAGTAAAGTAAAACAAAAATATATTATAAGAATTTTTATTTTACCAATGTATGAAAAATATAACCTATAAACTTTTATAGTTCGCAAACACTTCTTACATATACTTTAAGATACTTTGTTACTTAATAAAACTAAGATATCTTCACATTATAAAATTATATGTTACTTTTTTTGTAAAATTACTATTTCTTCTGGTTAATTAAACATGAACCTGACTTTGTTTTTGCGGACGTTCAATGTGCGTGCGTGCGTGCGTGTGGTGTCTAATAATGCATTTAAGCAGGTCAAAAAAATAATTTAAGTATTTATCTTTCATAGAAAAAAGAAAAATATAGGACTAAAGTTATTTTGTTTTGAAAGACACATAATTTGATATTAATAATATTTTTATAAGTGAAGGCATAAATAATATATAAAGATCAACCTTATTTTTTAAAATGAAATATGTTTCTTTATTTATATTTTAATAGAGCCTTTCAAAACAAATGACCGATAACCAAGGGTCATTTAAAATTGCATAAAATCAATTACAGTTACTCGTAAAGTTATAGAAGAACAATTAAAATTGTTTCAAAGCATCTTTCAAATAATTTTTTGTCTTATCTGTTTATTGGTACACCACTCTTGTAATTGCTTAGATGTATCATTATACATAAATAAACACTGAATCCGTATTTATATTATCTATATTTATTAATTATTTTGAATGTTTCTATCAGTCGCAATATATGTTTTGCAAAATCTGTTGGATAAATCTGATTTTCTGTCTCTTTGAACATGGTAAAATCTCTTCAAACAACAAGGAACATCGATATGAAAAAACAGAAAGTCAGAATATAACTGATGACGAAAATATAATGAACATTTTAGTTGTTGCAATACAAGATAGCTTAAATGTGAAAGTGGTATTCGTTAATCAAGTATTTTATGAGTACTTCAATAACAAATTTCATCTTTTCCATGTATCATTCCACCAACAGTTACATAATTATGGTTTTTAAAATCATATGCAATTCTGTGAATGAACATTAAAGAAATTGCAAATGAATCAAATGCTCTTCACCAATATTTTATTTACTGATAAAATTACACTTGAAATTATGAGTAAAGTATGTATTATTCAATATGTACACGAATACGTATTTCACAATATATATTATTGATCAATCAGATTATATATATTATGTATTATAATATTATATAAATACTTAAACCAAAATTTGTAATAATTACAAACATACATTATACAAATTTCGATAGCAGTTTTGTTTGGATTTGTCAAATGAAGAAAGCAAAATAAATAAAACATAGCAATAAATTTTACAATCATGATATGCTCAGCTCTAAACATATTCTCCAAACATATAACCCACATTATCAAATAATGGATACTACATAACATTCTCCATATTTCTTAATAATACCTTACAAAATTTCAACATTAATTCAATAAAACATTTTTTAACAGAAATGGAAAGAAAATTATGGAAATATGATATTTTAAATAAAGAACTAAAATAGAAATTTATCCTGAAATTGAGAATTTTATTGACCAAGAATATACAAAAGAGCTAGTTGATAGCATGTCAGACAGATTACAATGTTTTATTAGATCCAAAGGTGCTTCAACAAAATTTTTAATCGTCAATATACTTGATATAACTATATTATATTATATTTCAAATAAGTTACAACAAATACTTCTGTAACATTAAATTTGCGACAAAATGTTTAAATCTTCAATTACACAATAATAAATTAAAATTTTCTAATAAAAATATATGCCATTTACAAACATAGTCATTACATTATGTATTTCTATTTATGACTTTTTCAGAATGTATATGGTTAAGAAATACTATACATTTGAATTTGATAATTGCAAAGTTACGAATACTTTTGTGACTTACCTGCATATCATAGGTAAGAGCAGTATTTTATTACAAAAAAAATGTGAATAATAAATTTACGTTATAATATAATTACATATTAATACGAAATTTATCATAAATTTCAATAGTATTATTACACATTTTACAGATATTATAAAATTTAATATGTTAGTATTCAGTTCTTACTAAATTCAAGATTTTATTCCAATAGAACTTTCATAGCCTAATAATAGATTTATGGATTAAATATTTTTATATAAACATGTAATATTTTCTATATTTTCTATATTTTATATAAACAACATAAATGAACATGTTGCATATTTTTCGTTTAATATTACTTTTATTTACAACAATCTATGAATCATGAATTATGTGATTAATATTTTCGTATAAGGTGAGTATAATAACTTACAATTAGTCAAATAATAATTTCGTTCCAAGTGAAATTAGAAAAATTTAATTAAAATCTAAACTTTCTTTGTATTGCAATTAGATTTTGTAATGTGGAATGATATATGTTACAAATTCATTTTTTAAAGATAACAGTTAACTTACAGTTAACTGTTTAAATAAATTAGTAGTTTAAACTAATTAATTTAAACTACTAATTTATATATTTTTAGCTATATCATCGGCATTGAGTATTTGGACAACATATAGATATATTCCGTATTTCGCAAATGTATAAATTTCAAATTTCGTTTCTAATTTGTATATTAACATAATTAGATATAAATACACTAAAAACATGTCATGTTACAGACGAATAATTTTATACATATATAGAATTATTTTGCTTGTTTTTATATCGTTTCATACCTGCCCTAATACTTTATGAATGTACCCTTTGAATTTAAATGCGAATTTTAATTAAATGTTTTATGAAAATTAATAAACCTGTATTGTATTGACATTATCATAGAATAGTTTCATGTAATTGTAATTTTTTTGTTTTATCGATTTAGAAATGTAATGTAGTCTCTTATGACATAAATTGATGATGTTTATATTAATTACTTTAAAAATATGTCGTCCCTTTTTCACTTAAATAAAAATTTAATAAAATAATTTGGATTAAGATGCTTGTATTGCTTCGAAATAGTTGAATTATAAAAAATACTTCCATTATAGTTAAACTGATTGATTTATTATTATTGTCTTTAGAAAAAGCTTATTGAATTTAAAATTTATAAAATTCAATGATAACCATTCTAATTTCTTAACTTTATTAATTTGCTGAATTTTATACGTATTATATATACAAATTGAATCAATATTATATAATATTACAAATCTTTATGAAATATAGTTATAAACTAATATATGATTTTTGTTTATAATATATATTATCTTCGATAATATTAAATTCTATTTGTTTTATCATTTCGTTAAAATTCAAAATCTAGTTTCAATTAGTGATTGTGATTTGTCAATTCTGTTATCAATAATATATTCCATTTATACTATTATAATTACATCAATATGTTCTAATAATTATATTTACACCATTAATTAATAATAATTATATTACTTTAAAATATTTGTCAATAATTAAAACGAAAGCTTATACGGATATTTAGTAAAATTTATTTTGTAAATCATTACAATTTTATAATATATTGCTCCAATGTTCATTCATGTCATATGGATGTGTGTGCATGAAAGTTGCTGAGTTAATGTTTGCACCTGTGTATAGTGTCTAAACACATATTACAGTCCAATTAATTGTTTGAATTTTACCAAGTGTATTTCAATACGAAATCCAAAGTCTCAGGTACATGTAAATACATAAAATATTTCTGAAATAAATATTTTTATTAAATATTTATTTTTAGTTATAAAAATGTACTTTCACATATTTTATTTATAATAGGTAAATAAGTAGAAGTCTTATAATTATGTACACATTTCTTAAACTTAAAAATTGCTTATTATATAATGAATAAAATTAATTAACTTAAATAATTCTATATTCTTTAGGAAAGTGACAAGTGCCAAAGAATACTTGAAATGTCAACTAAAACTTTAAAGAATTTTTTAAAATGTTTGTTCATTCAATTGCATATAATATTTGACTATTTGATAGATTTCATTTTTGGATTATATTATAATCATAAGAAACAAAAAGTACCACCAATCAAGAATAACTTATTGTTAATGAGTGCATCGGAATTAGCTGAAAAAATCAGGTATTTTATTACTTTACTTTTTTATATTGTATCATTTAAAATTAGTTATTTGGTGACTATTACGGATTATTTATGAATTAATAATAATTGACTTAAAATATTATATAATAAAATATTGAAGAATTATTATATAAATATAGATTTTTATGTTTTTTAGCTATTTAAATTAGATATATAGTCAGTTAAAAAAGTCTCTCCACATAAAAATTTATTTAATGTTGTGTAATTTTAATAAATAATGCTAATAAATAATTTATTAACAGTGAAAGTAAAAGAAAGATAAAAGAAGAAGGCAGACTCAATAAAAGTGTGGTCAAAAATGTCTTCATACATGTAGCATTATTATCTATAATTTGTTAAAATTAATGGTCATTTGGGTTGTCTTTCAATTTTATAATTTCTTGCATTCACTTTGTTATTGTTTGCATTAATTTTTGCATTGTTCTTGGTTGAACATTTTCTCATTCCAATAATATTTTAGCTTTTATGTCTTCCTTATTTTTAATTGTGTATTTTTTTAAATTTCTTTTTATTT